TGGATTCTAACTAAGTAAGTTATAATCTATAGATTCATGTAAAAATTATGTAGTTACACGAGGGGTGCTACGGAATCTGTTTTCTAAGCATATTTTCGACCCTCATCTCACGGCCTAACATCATCGTTGCTTACAAAGAAATTAAACAAGCCATTTTCTGTTGGTTCGTCAGTCCACATTATTTTGTTAACCTTCGTTTCAAGATGCTCCGTTAATGGTAAACGACAGCCATGGCGTGCAGCAGGGGATTTACCAATTCCTGACGGCCCGATCACAACCGTATGGAGATTAGCTTTCTCTTCGAAGGATCGTTATCGTATACTCTGATGGTAGATTTACCCAAAAGAGAACTTGTTGTTGTCATCATCACCATGAGTAAAACTTCCTTGGCTGTTCTATGACAAATGCTGTAGCAATCTAACCACTGCATTATTTCTTCCGTGCAAACGTCCGTCTAAAGAAACGGATTTGCCCCTAGCTCTCTTTCAATATCGTCTAAGTTATTTACCGTCAATAACTCCTGATCGATCTCTGCCATGCTTACAACTTTACAGGAACAATCAAATGCCGGCCTACCTCATGACAAATACATACATATTGTTTTGAAAACTGTCGCTCACATACCGGAAACACGGCAAAGCTGTAAACATGTCAACGGAAACACTGCAAGGCTGCACATATGCCACACAATCATCCTCATAGACGCTGACTACGTTCTTTTAGTTTGAAACTAACGAAAGTCGCTTGCTAATCTACCGCTTACGCAAATATTTTCTGGTCGTTAAATTTGTAGTTTAGCGATATTTTCCTTTAATAGCAGTGTCAGTGTTGTGTTGAAAGCTTCGAACACATGTAATTAGATCTGTTTAAATAAATTAATTTAACGGACGACCAGTCTGGATTTTGTTTATCGCAAGAAAGCAACAGACGTTCACATAAAAAGCTTTATTTTGAATAATACTATTTATCGCTTAAACATCCCTTGCACCGCAATAGTAGCTACAGATGACTAATTGGTTATATAATGCTGGATGCGCCCAACGCACAAGTTTGATTTCTGTTCTGGCGGCTTGAATGGCAAACGATCCAAATGATCCACAAAAGGCAAATGATCCAAATGATCCACAAAAAGCAAATATCCAAATGATCCACAAAAAGCAAATGATCCAAATGATCCACAAAAGCAAATGATCCACAAAAAGCAAATGACCCACAAAAAGCAACTGATCCAAATGATCCACAAAAAGCAAATGAGCCAAATGATCCACAAAATGCAAATGATCCAAATGATCCACAAAGAGCAAATGATTCAAATGATCCACAAAAAGCAAATGATCCAAATGATCCACAAAAAGCAAATAACCCACAAAAAGCAAATTATCCAAATGATCCACAAAAAGCAAATGAGCCAAATGATCCACAAAATGCAAATGATCCAAATGATCCACAACGAGCGAATGATCCAAATGATCCACAAAAAGCAAATGATCCAAATGATCTACAAAAAACAAATGATCCAAATGATCCACAAAAAGCAAACGATCCAAATGATCTACAAAAACAAATGATCCAAATGATCTACAAAAAGGAAACGATCCAAATTATATACAAAAAAGAAATGATCCAAATGCACCAGCCAAAAGCCTGAAGTTCCAAAAGAAATACAGTAGGTAGCTAAAGCTATAATTTAAAAACCAAAGAACAAGACAAATGATAGAACTCCTATTGGTGTGACGTCACTCTTGACTTGTGACGTCACCCGTGACTTGGTATATCGCGCATAAACCCATTTTTCACGCAAGAAAAGGCACTTTGCTCCCGGAAAAAGGGCACTTGGCAAGACTTGTGGGGCCCTGGCCCCCCGGTCCTACGCCCCTGACGGTCGATAAAATTGCGTTGTACGATGCTCGTTTAGTACCGCGTTTAACTATTCGTAGGAAAACCTTTAATTCAACCGGAGAAAACCGGATTTTCTTGAAATTTCTTACCTCTACGTCAGCTGTTGCTAGGCCTTTGTAAGCTCTTGAAGCTTTATCTAACTTGTGAATTCCACTAAGCCAGTGCCTTTTGTAAAGGAATTTTCACTACAGAGAGACAAGAGCAGGAAAAAATGTCAGAGCGAAAAATATGAGCCGTCGAGGTTTGGCGAACGCACGAGTCTGAAGAGAGATTTTGTAAAACTTTAATTTATTAACTTGAGCTATATTTTACTTAAACAATAACTTCAACCCTTTGTAGCTATAATCGTACAGCTATAACCAGTGGCGTAGCGAAACCTTAATTTTGCGGTTGGGGTGGGGGCGAACCTCACGCCGAAGGCGTGAGACCGTCTAGGAGGGTCCGGGGTTCGAAAAATTTTGAAATCTAGGGTCCCTGAAGTGCGATTTCATGCATTTTGGGTGTGAAACCTAGCAGAATTCCGAAAATTATAAAGTACAACGAAGACATGAATTTTTCCAGACATTTCTACTCGGAATTAAATAAATTGGAAAAGTCACCTTGAAAAATAGGAAGAGGGGTCAGTGTCACCCTATTTTCTCTCTGTGATGCTGGGGGGAGGGGGGATCCCAATGTGATTTTGATCAGAAATGTTGCATTTAAATATTTTAGGTTCTATGAGACATCATTTCGCATTCTCAAAATTGTGTTGCTTTTTCATACGATACAGAATAAGTCTGAGAAGAAATATTCATGCTATGATGATGCATACATGGATTTAACAGTTAAAAATCTAAAATAATTTATTCTTCTTGGAACCATATCTATAACTGCTTTAACGAGATTTCACACATCAAGTTCCTCCAGTATATCGTCTTTTTCCTCAGTCGAAACGTACTTAATCAGTTTCAGCTTCGAGCATGTAACGTGTAACCACCACTCCCCCCAATTTTTTTTTTTTCTACGGATTTAGCCTTTCTGAGAGAATGGTTTTTGTGGCGATTGAGGGGGGGGGGGCTTAATATAACTTGATATTTTTTAGAAAGAATTTTTTTGCAATAAAACCTCCCAAAACAAAACACAACGCCTCCGCAGACGAGAGTGCTAGGAAATAGTCGCAAGGCTTGGAAAGGCTAGCACTTTATCGGATTGTTTGCATGAAATCTATCGCTATTATGAAATGCTCGGTGAAGAACAAGATGAATTACACACAAGATGGCTGTGGAGGAGGCTATGGAAGGGCATAATCTCATTATCAAATAAATCAACTGCAATTCTGACAGCAATCATGAGCAATTCAGCTTCGCACTTCGGGGGCAGAAATGGCTTTACTGGGATGCACATTCTTTCCCTTGAGGGGGGCAAAGCTTTTGCAATAAAGTTTGTTGCTGTTTTTATTTAGAGTTTGCTCGTCCATTCGTTGCTGCAATTCTATATCAAACTTTTCATTTTCACATTGTACCGAGTTTCTCATTCACTTAAATTCACTTGCGGATATTTCTTTCGCAAGATTTTTGGCTTCTTTATGCGAAGAGTCGAAAGCAATAGCAAAAACCGTGAGTTGTATTTGGCTTTTGTCAGTTGATTCAGTTTTATGCTGTTTGAAATTAGATCCTCGACCTTGCACTTTTGTTCAAAACAATTTTAATTAAGAACATTTTGTCCCAAGTCGTGATTGGCTGATAAAAGCGATTAACGAGAGCGAACAATTTTTTTTCGACTTTTGGCGTCTTGTTGTCTATTTTGTATACTTGTTGGCTTTCCAAAATCATTGTTTGTTTTAAAATAGCTAAAATTGGGAGTCTTACTGCTTGTTTTCAAACTATATAGTAGAAGAAAAGAAGGAGAAAAAGCCAGAGTATATACTTAGCGAGTTAAACGCCTTTGATACAACCGGCGCCTGCAAGCGAATTTAATTAAACATACGGAACTTTAACGGAAAAGGAGCTAGAGGCCGTTAGTAATGATGCTCTAATGACATACTTTTTTGCATGTCCGCTGAACTGTAGCCCGATTCCCACGATCTATATATTCGGCATACTGAAAATATTCTTTCCCTAATTTGTCGACATAACTTGCAGTATATAGCTTCCACTTTAACGTGGTGATTGCAGTGATAATAGCTTCTACTCGGTAACATATATTGCTGTCGCAAAGCAACATTTTCTTCGTCAGCATCGTTTTCATTGACAAGATAAACGATGCCGACAAAGGCGGTCGATTTGAGTGAAAAAATTCGCCTAGTGGAATGGGTTTGAGCACATACGTATACCCATTGAACGGTTCTCTGAGAAAATTGAACACCGGTAGGCCTATAGCTATCCCTATACGCAATTATCCGCTGTACTTTGTGAAAAAACCCAGGCAACTATAATGAAACCATGCATCTGCTTGGCTCATCTATATACTCCTAATACGTACTGACTGATAAAGTTTTATAATTATAAAATACATTGTAACTTAAAGCAATAACATAAATTATTAAACATAAACTTTGTATCATGATAGAATAAATTTTATAAATCGCACAACACAAATAGGTGCGCAAGTATACTGAACTTATATTAACTAAAGCAATACAAATAAATACAACTGTTTCCAATGTCAATGAGTCAATAACACCAATTAAGAAATAAAACCTATTACATTTGAACGAAAGTGAATATAAATGATACATGCAGTTCGCGCCGTCATTTTTTTCTTTATGTTGACTTTTAACATAAAAAAATTGACTTTCCAGCTGCATTTAGCCGTTTAGTCGATTTATTACTTAGTAATAATGTACAAGTTGCAAACCTTCGTACATCAGCACAACACTGATGAACTATACAAGCTTACTACAGTGTAAAATTGATTTATTTTCTGTGGCATGCAGTGTCGGTAATGTATTAGCGCCGATAAAAAAATGAAAAATGCCTGCATGAAAAATGCAGAGTAATTATAACTCCTCGACAAATGGCACTCGCTCGAAATGTCGAAGTTCTCCTTGTATTTTCCATGTGGCTTTAGTCCTCTCTGTCCAAATCTTTCTTGAAATTCATTTCGTCTGCAAGTATTCAACTACAGTATGTAAAATCAAGTTCTCAGATCATTTTTGGCAATTGCTCTTTTGTATTTTGCACGGATCACGGTATTCACATTTAAATACAAGTATTTCATTTGGTTCAATTCAATTCAATTCAAATGATACACCTTTGCGAAAGGCTTGTAAATCCCTGAACAAGCTTTCGTTGGTAGGGATGCAACGACCTGAAGAATATAAGGAGAAATTTGACATTTTGAGCGAAGAGGCCCTTCGAACGGAACGTTGGAATTCTCCTGATTTATTTTTTATCAGTGAAAATGAAGCAATGTGATTGGCTGAGAGCCTTTCAGAGCGGGCCGGTTTTTTGCATCCGGCCCGCTCTGAAACGCAAC